CCTGAATCTGAGGTTCGACTATCCGACGGACCCTCCTCTCCAGAACCCTTGAATAGACCTTACCAGGGAGGCTTAAGAGCGTGATTTCCCTGTAGTTGGAACACACTCTACGGTCCCCCTTTTTGAATAGGGGGACCACCACCCCGGTCTGCCGATCCAGGGGAATCCCCGATGTCCACGCAATATTGCAGAGTCGTGTAAGCCAACACAACCCTACAACATCCAGAGCCTTAAGGAACTCCAGGCGAATCTCATCCACCCCTGGGGCCCTGCCACCGAGGAGCTTTTTAACCACCTCGGTGACCTCAGCACCAGAGATTGGAGGGCCCGACCCAGAGTCCCCAGGCTCCGCTTCCTCAGTGGAAGACGTGCCGGTGGGATTGAGGAGGTCTTCAAAGTATTCTGCCTACCGACCCACAACATCCCGAGTTGAGGTCAGCAGCACACCACTCCACTATAAACAGTGTTGGTGGCGTACAGCTTTCCCCCCCTGACACGCCGGATGGTGGACCAGAATCGCCTCGAAGCCATGCGGAAGTCATTCTCCATGGCCTCTCCGAACTCCTCCCATGCCCAAGTTTTTGCCTCAGCAACCACCCGAGCCGCATGTCGCTTGGACTGCCAGTACCTGCTAGCTGCTTCCGGGGTCCCACAGGCCAAAAAGGCCCAATAGGACTCCTTATTCAGCCTGACAGCATCCCTCACCGGGTTTGAAGGTTGCCGCCACGACAGGCACCGACAACCTTGCGGCCGCAGCTCTGGTAAGCCGCCTCGACAATAGAGGCACGAAACATGGTCCACTCAGACTCAATGTCCACCATCTCCCTGGGAACATGTTCAAAGTTCTCCCAGAGGTGGGAGTTAAAACTCCGTCTCACAGGAGACTCTGCCAGATGTTCCCAGCAAACCCTCACAATATGTTTGGGTCTGCCAGGTCTGACCGGCATCCTCCCCCACCATCGGAGCCAACTCACCACCAGGTAGTGATCAGTGGACAGCTCCGCCCCTCTCTTCACCCGAGTGTCCAAGACATGTGGCCGCAGATCAGATGAGACAATGACAAAGTCGATCATCGAACTGCGGCCTAGGGTGTCCTGGTGCCAAGAGCACATATGGACACCCTTATGTTTGAACAAGGTGTTCGTTATTGACAATCCATGACGAGCACAGAAGTCCAACAACAGAACACCACTCTAGTTCAGATCAGGGGGGCCGTTCCTCCCAACCACACCCCTCCAGGTCTCACTGTCATTGCCCACATGAGCCGTGAAGTCCCCCAGCAGAACAAGGGAGTCCCCAGGAGGTGCACTTTCCAGTACCCTCTCCAAGGACTCCAAAAAGGGTGGATAATCTGAAATGCCATTTGGTACATAAGCACAAACGACAGTCAGAACCCGTCCCCCCACACATAGGCAGAGGGAGGCCACCCTCTCATTCACCGGAGTGAATCCCAACACACAGGCACCAAGTTGGAGGGCAATAAGTATGCCCACTCCTGCTCGGCGCCTCTCACCAGGGGACACTCCAGAGTGGAAGAGTGTCCAGCCCCTCTCAAGGAAACTGGTTCCAGAGCCCGAGCCATGCGTAGATGTGAGTCCGACTATTTCTAGCCGGAACCTCTCAGCCTCACACACCAGCTCAGGCTCCTTCCCCACCAGTGAGGTGACATTCCACGTCCCAATAGCCAGCTTCTGTAGCCGAGGATCAGACCGCCAGGGTCCCCGCCCTTGGCCACCACCCATCCCACATTGCACCCGACCCCTTTGGCCCCTCCCACAGGTGGTGAGCCCATGGGAAGGTGTAAAAGTAGTGTCATAAAACAATAAATCAGGGTGCTGTAAAACAAGGTAAAACACTAAAAAGAAGAACATATTTGTTTTGATGTTTCTATTGACATTGTCAAATGTTTAAAATTCCCTAAAGAAATTAAGGTGGACAGCTTCATTATTAATACATTACTAATAATGTATTAATAATGATATTATTAATACTATAATTAAAGGTGAGTCGTGCAAATTCACGTTTGTATCAAACAAGCAGGCCTTCATGCCATTCTGTCCCAGTGGAGTAGTTCTCAGTCTCAAAAAAGTTGGTGAGCCCTGGTCTAAATCCTTTGAATAGTTCATCAGAAACTTGAATCATTTACTGCTGCTGTATGTGACCGCAGCAGTTCAAACATTGCTGTTTTAGAAATATATATCTTACTCTGACATGAACATGATATATTCTCTGACTGTTGGAAAGCTTCACATATCTGAAAGAAGCTTGAGTATAGACTAAGTTCTATTTTGTGTAAGCTACGCCCTTTAAAAGCTGTCGCTATTGGGTTTACCCGCGCGCAGCGCGCCGAACACTGAAAACTTCTAGTCCACGCCCACCTGCTGTGTGGGCCCCACCCGGTCCGTTATAAATTGCATCTGGACCGTAGATTGACTCCCTCCCGTTTTTCTTCAGTCAACGCTAAGAACACTGCTTCTAAGAAAAGAAGAAAAGAAGAAAAGAAGAAAAAAGATGACTTCTATTAAGAAACTGAAGACCATTCGTCTGTGCCCCGCGTGTCAGACGGGCTACATCTTATCGACGGACCTGCACGCCATGTGTGAAAGCTGCCTGGGAGCTGACCACGCTCGGCAAGCTTTGGATCCACTCTTCTCTTGTCCAGCCTGCAAATTTTTTTCGGCTGAGGAGAAGCAGCGCTGGTGTGAGCTCTTTTCTTCTGAGGAGGTCGAGTTTTAACCGAGGGGGGACTGTTCGTTCAAGGAATTTTTGAACTCCCCGGACACAGAGTTCGTGAACACGTCCCCCTCTGAAGCTGAAACAGCTAGCAGCTGCGCTCCATCCTGCCTTACAGGAGGTTTGGAGCCGGTGTTGCCTTCGATGGTCGCCTCCCCGAGCCAGGGGTCATCCACCACTCTGCTCCACGAGCTCCCAGAGATAATCGGGAGGTCGGCAAGAGCCTGCGACCTGGAAGTGCCCGAACCGGTGGCCCCGGCCAAGTCGACCCTTCTGGCGGGAAAGTTTGCCGCCCTGCACATTGGACACCGGGACCCGGTCTGGCCCTGTTTCCCAGCCATGTCCGCCCTCCTCCTGGGTTCAGTCAACGATCCCTTAAAGCAGAGGGCTCCGGTTGCCTCCTACGCGGCCATCACCAAAGTCAAAGGGCTCACGGACTAGGGCTTTCCCACTGTCCCTCCCCTAGAACCCAATTTGTCAGCTGTTTTTGAGGTAAGAGCAGCAAAATATGTCAGCCGACGTATCATCCCGCCATCTTCCAGTGACCAGTTCACCGCGAAGCTGACGGACAGAATTCAACAGTGCTCATCGCAGGTGGAAGCAGCAACCAACAACATCGCTATGCTAGCTTTTAGCATAGCTAAGGAGGCGAAGGAACCGAACCCGTTCTACGTAGATTTGGACCAGATTGGCACAGCTGCGGACACAATCACCAACCTGTGTGCGGCGCTTGCAAAGTGCTCCGCCCGCATTTCGTCCTGGGCAACGCTGCTGCAGAGACAGATGGAAAGGTGGAGGTGCAGGAAAAGGTGGAGGGGCTGTGCCACAGCATTTAGTCTTCGTTCGCAGTGTACTCACTAAAAATCCGTTTGAGCCTCTGGACCAGATACCTTTGAAGTATTTGTCACTCAAAACAGCCTTATTATTAGCTCTGACATCAGCTAAAAGAGTGAGCGACTTGTCAGGTCTGTCCCTTGCTCCTGCTTGTCTCAGAATTCTAGGAGACGGGAGCACAGCAGAACTCCGACCAAATCCTGCTTTTATACCCAAAAGCATAACAAGTTCGTTCAGGTCCAGTGCCGTTACACTGGATGGGTTCTGTCCCCCTTCTCATAAAACTACGAAGGAGGAACAGTTTCACCTGCTCTGTCCAGTACGCACACTCAGGTGTTATGTGACACGCACAGCCGTGATGCGTAAATCCGATCAATTGTTTGTACTTTTCAGAGAACGATCACAGGGTCAGCCTTCATCTTCCCAGCGTCTGTCACACTGGTTATGTGAAGCTATATCACAAGCCTATAGTTCTTTTGGTCTTCAACCACCTGAAGGACTTGGGGCTCATTCCACCAGGGGGATTTCTACCTCCACAGCTCTGCACAGAGGGGTGTCTGTGTAGGACATCTGCTCTGCGGCTTCATGGTCACTACCGACCCCTTTCATCCGTTTTTATTTCCGAGATGTCTCCAGCTCTTCATTGACACATTCAGTTCTCAGAGTTATGTCAGAGTGATTCTTCACAATCACACAACAAAAAATAAATAAATAAAATGAAATAAATACAAACAACAAACATTAAAACAACACAGCCTTGCTCTGTCGTTATTAGTGGGCGTTTTCTACGATTACTCGTTCAAACAGGAAAATTCCTTCTTCCTCTTTGAAAATTTTTCCCTTCTCTTATTCCTCTATTGCCTGATATGAATAAACATTCCTCAAGTTAAGATCAGGGACAGAGGCTGCACGCCTGTAATCTAGTATGCACCAGGTACATGGATCAATGGTGTGTAATTACGCTTGAATAAAGGAAGAGGTTTAGGCAGATATCAGGGTGTTTTTGATAGTTCTCGGACAGACCCAGTGAGGCATGGACCATATCCTGCTCCGCCCTTTAAACCCAGTAGCAACAGCTTTTAAAGGGCGTAACTTACATGAAATAGAACGTTGGTTACGTATTGTAACCCCAGATTCTACGAGTGTAAGTGTAGCCCTTTAAAAACTGAGTCTCACTGGCTCTCAAAAGGCTGAAGAATAAGAGTAAGCCTTTGGGAGTCGAGCTCCGGTCCAGATGCAATTTATAACGGACCGGGTGGGGTCCATACAGCAGGTGGACGTGGACTAGAAGTTTTCAGTGTTCGGCGCGCTGCGCGCAGGTAAACCCAATAGAGACAGCTTTTAAAGTGCTACGCTTACACTCATAGAATCTAGGGTTACAATACGTAACCAACGTTTCTGTTATATTGTTGTTTATTGTTTAGGGAACTCACCCAGAGTTGGTCATCATGGCCTGGTGGACTTTTCTTGATGAAGGCTCCATAGTATGTGGCTATGTTTCTGTGGTGGGAATACTTCTTCAGCATGTTGATTTCCAGCTTAATTTCCTCCTCTTCATCCTATGAAAGAATGAAACGGATGGAAGCATATTACTGTTAAGTCCATGTGCTGTTATTCCTTGTGAGACAAAGAAGTTATTTTACAGCTAATCCAAGTAACTGAAAATAATGCAACACAAGCAAAATACAATGTTGGTTTTCATTTATTGATGCTCTTCAAGTGGCAAATAAAAATAAAATGGACGATCAGCTGTAAAACACTGAAACCTGGGAAGTGGATCTTATTCATATTTATAAAAATATTGGAAATCATATTCTCCTATGACTCTTTTAATTGAAAAAAAAAACTTTAATTGCACTTGTCGAGGTGACGTTCGGCTCTTGCAGCTCTTTTAAAAATTATTAAAATGTTTCCATCTTAATTAGTTTTACAAACACTTTGAAAAGCACATAAAAATGTCACAATAGGGGTCTGTGCTGACGGGGAAAACACTCAGATAAGCAAGTAAAAAGGCAAAACTGGTAGACAGTTTTCACAATTATCTGATAAATACTATCAGGTTTTACGGTTTACAAAACTAAAAATTCACTGAAATATCCTGATACAGTACATGCTCAATAATCCAGGTAGAAAAAACAAAAAAGTTAAATCTGGTCCTCTGGACATTCAAAAAACAAAACAAAGCAAAACAACATAAAATGTAGAAAAGTTTCGTCTTACATCCGAGAGACTTCCTCAGTCTGAGGTGCTGTATTCAGCTCAGTCTCTTAAATAGCACCTTCTCAGAGTGGATCAACCAGTTTTGCTGCTGACAACCAAAACCAGCTGATCACATGCTCAAGAAGGACCATCAGCCTAACAATGG